ATTAGTGAGTAGTTTCTATTTTACTTTCATTTTACTATATTCTACATGCCAGCTTACTCCGTGATAGCGGGATTTTTCTTCAACTTGTAAAGTGGTAGTAAATTTTATGCTTTACATTTCATTGAATTACTTTACATTTCATTGAACAAATTTGATTTAAAATGATTTCGACCACCACCTTATGAAAAGCAATATAATCGTATGTATAAAAGTAATATAATCATATCTATATTGAAGCTTAGGAGTGCTGGTATAATCAAACAAATTAATCTTATCTTATTCGCATATATTATGTTAGTTTACTATTTTAAATATCACGAAGAGTTATAAGGACTTCTAGGTTAGCATCCATGTTTTTAAAATTGATTTGACTTGTTAGCGTGCATGTTTTCATTGTCGTCTTACTACATAAATATTTTACGCTTTGTGAAAACAAGCTGTAAATGAATAGATCTTACTACCAGTTTTTTTCTTCATCTTTTTATTCCCTCTGTGTATATATTAAGGACTTTTGTCCTATTAATGATAAGCGTTATCTTGAAACTTTGAAGAGAGCGTTTATTTCGTGAAAACGCCAATATTTTCATGTAGAGACTTGTTACCTTGTGGAAATTCCAAAAAATAGCGATAACCTATCGGTAAAGCATACTCATCAGTTTGATGCTAAAACGTGATCTTAGGAAAAAGACATTTCAATTTATTCATAATTTTTTTTTATTATAACCGCAAATGCTATTGCAAATGCTCCGGACTCTACAAACTAAAATTTGCAAATTTTCGGTTTATTTTCTCAACTTTTCAAAAAGCTCAATACGGCTTAACTGTCTTCTTCTTTATGTAACTTAACTGGGCACCTGGGTCGCACAGCGACCCCTATCCCATCCATCATGATTTTATCAGTAGATGTAGTGAAAACATTTTGTGTTCTGCAGACTGTGTGGTGGCTGATTTCAAAGTTCAAGCACCTTGCTTGTGAAAATAACACTAATGGAAATTATATGGAGCAGCTTGCTCTTAACTAAATGTGGCTGTATGCAGTTTGATGGTACGGCTTAACTGTAGAAAAGTGGCGTATCACATAAGCCTTTGAGTTATTTAGAAGTCGTGGTGAGTAAAAACCCTTTAAATCGAATTTGCTAAACCAAGAATCATGCATTAAAATACTACCTCTCGAAAATATTTACCCACTCTCCAGAGAAAGTTGGCATATCTGCAGGACTAAACTTTAATTTTAGGTTTCTACCACTTTTGATTTACCATAAATTTCAATAAATTACGGTAGACTATCCAATCACTCCTGTAAGATTTTAAATGGTGTCAGCTTTGCACATGTGCATACCAGTTGCAACAGCTTGCTGCAGTGTTGGTGTGCAGATAATATTATATGAATCGTTGCTTGTTATTTACATGGCGGAAAGCCTATAAATACTAAGACGGTAAAGAGCTGAAACTGGTCAGTAAGGCATGCTAAATTTCTTTTCGAGAAAAATAAATTTTTTTTAACTACCAAGATTTTTTTTTACCATTATAACATACATTTAATTACTCAAATGAGCTACTCAATTAGATGACCCAAGATTGAATCTCAGCACTGACTATTTGATGCGAATTCTGCTCTCGGCTCTTACTGAATACAGTGCTCTTGCAAAATATCCTCAATGGTAGAAGGATCATGGGTTAAAATCCTCCTGCCGCTGGGCTAACCATGCGAGTTTTTTGTGGTTTCCCTCTCAATGTTACGCTCATGCGGGTTAGTTTCATCAAAAAATGCTCCAAGAAGGCTAGTTCCAATGCTTGATCAAAGAGTTCTTTTGCTTCTTGGGTTGGGTACGAAATTACTAGGCTACGGCGTTGAAGGTTAAAAGTCATAAACTCAGAATTGAGTTGGCTGTCCAACGTCAGTTATGAAAATAAAGTAAAAACAAAGTATTCTTAAGTTAAAGAATATTTACATTGTAATGATCTAAACCTTCATTATTAAGTACATTTAGAAACTATAACTTATTTTTTGTCAAACGTTTATCTGTTAAAAAATGTAGTTTGCTAATTAAAAATTTATGAAAGCAACAAATTTTAGTATTTTACGTGATCAAATGCACGCTTCTTTTGGTTGGATGACTAAGTCATATTCTTCCCCCTCCCCTCTGTCTGACACAAGTAATTTGCTTCTGTTGTAGTAGCAATGATAAACAATACTTAATGCTTCAAATGAGCATAGATAACTACTGTTTAGAACTAAAGGAATGAGTAATTATTTTAGAAAAAGGAATCTTGGCAATATTCCCTAATGAGACAGGTGAAATCCTTAGATTTAACATCGTACGACACCAATAAATATAATCTTCTTTCATCCACTTCAAAAGTGTCCCGGCAGAGAAAAAAAATCTCGTAATTAATCAAGTTGCCAGTAAGTTTGAGTTTACCTTTGCGGTAAAGTGATTAAAATTAGTATCTTGTGAAAAGTTACATGTTATGCATCAACCGGCGATGTAAAAGATTCTATTTTAACACGGATATTTTTATGAATAATTTGAAACTATTTACAGAATGACGATTGCCTTAATTTAATATGCTTTAGTTGTCCAGCAACAGAGAGAATGAATGCCATAAACTTTCCCCCTTGAACAATGAACAATTTGAAGTGACATGAAATTTTTTTTGTTAGTTTATTGATTGGTGATCTTTCTTTCCTTCCTAAAAATTATAGATTGACCAATCAATTATTTCATTGTTAACATTAAGTATTGTGAATACACGGAAACAATGAATTGAATATTTTTTAAGAATAATTTAAAGTTATTGACGGGACGATAATTGCCTTAATTTATAATGCTTTAGTTGTCCAGCAACAGAGATAATGAATGCCATAAAATTTCCCCCTTGAACAATGGACAATTTGAAGTGACATTAATTTTTTTTGTTAGTTTATTGGTTGGTGATCTTTTTTTCCCCTTCAAAAATTATAGATTGACCAATCAATTATTTCATTGTTAACATTAAGTATTGTGGGTACAAGGAAACATGGAAATAAATATTTTTATGAATAATTTGAAATTATTTGCCGAACGATAATGGCCTCAATTTATAATGCTTTAGTTGTCCAGCAACAGTGGGAATGAATGCTATAAAATTTCCAACTTGCAATGAATTGTTTGTAGACATTGAAAATTTTTGATTGTATATTGGTTGGTGATCTTTCTTTTTCTTCATCAGAAAGTTAAAGACTGATTAATCAATTATTTCATTGTTAATATTAAAGCAAGCGGATATACGGAAATTAATATTTTTATGAATAATTTGAAATTATTTATCGGACGTTTAATTCCTGAATTTAAAATGCTTCAATTGTCCAGCAATAGAGGGAATGAATGCCGTAAAATTTCCCCCTTGAACTATAAATTATTTACAGACATTGAAAGTTTTTTATTGTATTTTGATTGGTGATCTTTTGTTTTCTTCAAAAAGTTAAAGACTGATAAATCAATTATTTCGTTGTTAACATTAACCATTTCGGGACGGGTAAGTCATAAATGTATTCGTAAGGAATCAGCATCTGGATGTTAAAAAATAAAAAGCGGTGGCTTAATTTTGGGTTTTGGTTAGTACCATTAAAAAGTTTTCCCCGAAGTCTAATTTGTCTCAATGCTTGATACAAGTGTTCCCTTGTCTTCTGGACTGGTAATCGCAAACTCAAAACTGGGTCAGTTGTTCAAAATAAAGTATCAAAATACAAGTATATGTATTATTAATATATTAGGGTGAGCACGAATGATTTGTTTTTCTAAGTCAAATTTTAAGAGTGAAGTAATTGAGCTATCAGTCTTCATCTTTTTGAAAGAAGTTCACACGATACAGCTATTCTTAATTTGTGGAGCCCTGAAAAAACCTTTTTTGTAGTATTCCTGCGTCTTATAAGCTGACCTTCAAATTTTTACTCTTTCCGAGGAAGTATTTCCTAAGCTGTAGTGAGCGACTGATTGAAATGCAATTGTAGATAAATTTATCTTTTCACGATTGGTATGGCTTGCACACTCATTTTCGTTTCTATAACTGGCTCTTATATACAGGGTGTCTCAGTTAAGCGTTTCAGAATTCCTAAGAGTGGTATAGAGCATCCTGACGACTCGAAATCATACAGCAATGCGGGGTTCGGAAATGCTTTCCTGAAGCGGTAATGTACACAGAAGCACCATAAAGAAAAGAGACCGTAAGTGAAAAATCGTTTTAATAATACATTGAAATAAGCATAAGGTACATGGGTCAAAGTAAGTGTTCGAAGTTTCTGCCACCGGCTACAATGCACACCTCACATCTTCCGCGCATGGACATCCGAACATTCAGCAATACTCCAAGCATATCTCGAATTTCTCCGGCAGTTACTGCAATTCTTACAACCAGCTCCTCAGCATTGTCAACAGGGGTGCCACAAGCCAGCGTTTTCATATGACCCCAGAAATAAAAAGCAAGACATGATAGGTCTGGTGACCGAAGAGGCCAACGCACTGGAAAGCTCGGAACTTTCGTACAACGCCATCTGCCGCCTCTGGAAAGCAAATCCGACCCCGCATTGCTATATGATTTCGATTCGTCGGGATGTACTCTACCCCTCTTAGGAGTTCTGAAACGTTTAACTGAGACACCCTGTATATTTATTTGCATTTAGTGGTAGTCAAAATCATATTAAATTTATTTTATTAATTCATGAATTAAAAAAAAAGTACAAGATTGGTTACCACGATAAAAATAAAATACTACGAACAATTCGTAGATGTTGGCAGCTATCTTTTGCCAAGCTCTCAATTCAGGACAAGACAAGACAGCTATCCTGTGAGCAACCCCACTGCTTGCTCTCTTCAATGTCCAACCTAAAATAGCACTGAAATTTTGTGATGAATGGGATAGGGGGCGCTTCGTGTCCCAGGTGCCCAGAAAAGTCAAAACACTTGGACTAGGCAGCTATCTTGTCAAGTTTTTTTTAAAGAAATGAAAAATTATCTTACCATATCTACCACGTTTATTCCCCGTATGTTCAAAATTTCTATTTGAATGCTGACATCAGCAGGAGAACCTGTATGGAATCAAAGGAATCATAATTAATGAGACTGATTTAGATGATATTTAAATTTTCATCAAACCCTTATGTAAGAGACATTATTTTGAGCTTCAGACAAAGTGTGGTTGTTGTACTTTTTAATTGGTTTGATTATTTTTTATATTTAAACAGGTTTTGAAAAATGAATATGAATATTGCCCTCCTCGGTAGTAAATTTGAATGTTCAAGGTCATTCAAGATCATTTCTTTAAAAGTGAAATCTAAATATGTTTTAAGGGGTTTATCTAAATGAAGCAACAACAACCAAAGTTTTGCTTTGCTATATTATTAGCATGTCGCTGCCTACTTATGGACACGCACTCTTTTTCATGGGGCAAGGTTGCTTTAAAGAGTTATGCTGCCCTGAAAATCTAGGTTGAACAATTGCACCGCAGTAATTTCTTTACTGAATATTAACCCCTTAACGCACAGATTGTTTGAAAAAAACCGCCCCCCCTAAATTTTTTTTTATGTAAAAACACACACTTTAGAACATTGTCTTTTCTTTTAATGATACACTGCGCTTTTGTTCCACGGTAAAAGGCTACATTCAGAGATGCCAACTGCTCCGGATTTGCCAAAATAATAACGATAAATAACTAAGTATATTTTGCAAATATTTGACTATTTTTGCGTGCTTTTTAAAAGGTATAGCATGACATAAGTATTATAAGTTGTGAATTATATAAGCCTGCGAATTATTCAGAAATAGTTTTGAATAAAAATTTACTAAAGTGAATTTGTTAAATCCAGAATCACAATTGATAAACTACCACTTTAAAATATATATTTGCTGTCCGGAGCAAGTTGGCATCTCTGTATATTTTATTCTTGAATAAATAAGTGTCATAGTTTACAATCCTGTGTAAGTGATAAATATCAATAAAACGATTTTTTTTCTTAGCTTTCACATTGTTATTTTCAATTCTCGATTATATTCGAGTGGGAAAAATTATAGTAGCATAAAACACAACGCCGCTTGAATTATCTCGAGTGTACACAGTTGGCCTGTTTATCGCGCTCGAATTAACTCGAGCGCACAAGTTAAGGGGTAAAAGTTCACTATTAGGACAAGTTCTGGCACTTTCATGAGTTATCGATGCTTTTTGTTGATAGAGTCATTCAAACTTCCAAACAATACAAAATCTGCAATTTTTTATTTAGCTTTTCTCAAAACGGCATCGTTTCTCAATAAATAAATAAATAAAGAACTATATCAACTTGTAGGTAAATGTATCTGCAAACGCGTGGAAAAGAAAATCAGCGGAATTGGCTCATTTTCAAGAAAAGAAATACCCAAGTTTCATATAAATGCTATCTTAAAAATCACATCCCTCATCCTTTTTGAGACAGAAACGATTTATGTTCCCTTTCAAAAAAAGCTGAAATAAAGAGTTGTTATAAGAACTCTACAGAAACAATTTATGTTCCCCTTCAAAATAAGCTAAAATAAAGAGTTTTGAAAAGAAATCTATCTGCAATTAAAGGTATAATTGTGGAAGAAAAACACCAAGGCATTGTGCCATAAAAGAACTGGAAAAAAATCATGGTTTTTCTAAGTAATGAATTTATAATTGTATTTGTAACTGTAATTGCATTGTATTGTTAGAAATGAACAATAAAATATAAACCCTGTCTCTCTCGTTTATAATTAACTCGTTCCTTAGTGTAACTTAGTTACAGTTTTAAAATAAAAGTTAGGGAGTTTAAAAAACCAACATTTAATGGCACAGGAGCATTTTTTTTCCACACAAGATGTCTTCGCTCTTTTTTCCAGCAATCATCTTTCCTTTACTGTATTTCAGGTGTACATAAATCTTAATTTTACTGGATAATAAAGTATGTCTTAAACAGCCCGATGTAGGCCAGGGAATTTATGGGTTACACAATTTCGTTCCCAATCGTTCGACGACGTCATAAGCATTGCCTACAGGCTACCTTCATTTCACAGATGATGCCAATCGATGTGAAGCTGGGTGGGTTTTAAGCTGCTGCTGGGGATCGAACCACAGTTCTTCATATTGACAGTTCAATATGTGCCATAATCACTGAATCATCGTGGCTTTTTTAATGAGCTATGCACAAATAGAAAGAAAACAAATTTTTGGGATAAAAAATTGCAAACATTTTAATTGCTTAGTGACATCAATGATGTGATAGAAATTATTAATATATCTATGGATATGATAAATCGATGCATGATAGCTAGAAACATTTTTTTTCCTAATGCCCGCCTGTGTTAACATCCGTCAATTCAGGCATCTACAGGGCGATTTGTTGACCTCTTACAGGGGCACCATATTAGGTGGGCCAACGTCGCTCCCACAGTAAGGACAGATAGCACAGAGAAGGAAAGAACCCAGGATTCGAACCCAGTACCTTTCTGAGGCAAGGACAACTCCCTGCCCTTACACAGACCGGTCGGCATAGCAAGAAACATTAAATACCATTATTTACTAATACTATAATGTTTACAAATGAAAAACTATTTTAAAAATATGCAAAACGCAACTTGTATTACCTTCTGTTGCTGGTGTTTGAAAAGACTCATAGTACGAACCCCTTACCGAACTGATCGAACAATACATGATAGCAAGAAACATGAAATACCATAATTTACTAATGCTACAATGTTTAGCCTGGTCGGTAGTGCGCTGGGCGCATGTCCAAGAGTTCGTGGGTTCGATCCCAGCCGGCCAAAGGTGTAGTAAATGGTGACTGATGCACGTTAAATCTCTCGAGTCAAAAAGTCCACCATGTTCCCATAACAAATCAATACCTCTGGGGGTACTGATCCAGGAGTTTCCTTGTCTTCTGGATTTGTTCAAGATTACAAGGCAACGGAGTTGAACATTAGTAGTCTTCCCGAAAATTGGGTTGGCTGTTCAACGACGGATATATAATACTACAATGTTTACAAATGAAAAACTATTTTAAAAACATGCAAAATGCAACTTGTATTACCTTCTGTTGCTGGCGTTTGAAAAGACTCATAGTACGAACCCCTTACCGAACTGATCGAACAATACATGATAGCAAGAAACATGAAATACCATAATTTACTAATGCTACAATGTTTAGCCTGGTCGGTAGTGCGCTGGGCGCATGTCCAAGAGTTCGTGGGTTCGATCCCAGCCGGCCAAAGGTGTAGTAAATGGTGACTGATGCACGTTAAATCTCTCGAGTCAAAAAGTCCACCATGTTCCCATAACAAATCAATACCTCTGGGGGTACTGATCCAGGAGTTTCCTTGTCTTCTGGATTTGTTCAAGATTACAAGGCAACGGAGTTGAACATTAGTAGTCTTCCCGAAAATTGGGTTGGCTGTTCAACGACGGATATATAATACTACAATGTTTACAAATGAAAAACTATTTTAAAAACATGCAAAATGCAACTTGTATTACCTTCTGTTGCTGGCGTTTGAAAAGACTCATAGTACGAACCCCTTACCGAACTGATCGAACAATACATGATAGCAAGAAACATGAAATACCATAATTTACTAATGCTACAATGTTTAGCCTGGTCGGTAGTGCGCTGGGCGCATGTCCAAGAGNAAAAAAAAAAAAAAAAAAAAAAAAAAAAAAAAAAAAAAAAAAAAAAAAAAAAAAAAATAAACAAAACTCAAGAAAGAAATAGATCAAAAATTTATTTTATAACGATATCATAACTGCCAATAAATACGATCATCGAGGGAAACTCTTGTTAAAAGTACCAACATTTATGTTTTTATTTTCAAATAAAAACAGGGCTGCCAACTAATACGCTTTTTGCAAAACATTTTATTGAGCTATAGACGAACGCTTATAGAATTAATGGTAATTTAGATAACATTTCAAAAGCCTTCTGTTGCCATAACCAAAGAGATGGAACCAGGTGCAGATCTGTCAACTTTCCACTCTTTTTTGGGAAAACTTCTTCTAGTGTTACGTTTATGTTTTAATGTAAGATTCTTCGTTTTGTATATTTGATTCAAAGTAACTTTCCACATCACTAAATATGAGTGATTTAAAAGTTCATATGCAGCGCCACTTTTTTTATTTTTATTAAAAAAATTTAAAATGGAAAATGTTTATAGATCAAATTAATTGCATATACTAGCTGATTGCGTTTCTGTAAATGAACAATACGCACTCGAATAAGGTGCCTCAATGATAAGGTACTTCAAGTTCATCATAAAAATTGAGCTAATTCATGTTATTTATTAAAAAAACTTTAATGAACTAAATTTATATATTTTAAATCGGAGTTGGAAACCATTTTTAAGTAATGATTTTAATTTAAATTATGTGTTAAAAATGAGTTTGATGAAACTAAGATTTGATTTGTCAATTCTAAATATAAAAATAAATTTAAAAAACTATAGGTTTTTACAACATAGTGTTGTTAATTAAATAAGATTATAAGAGCAACAGCCCGCTGTGGGCCAGGGGTTCATGGAAGTTTATTTGTCACTAATTAATAAGCCAGCATTAATTACTTCAAATTAATCACAGAAGATATAATAATTCATGCAATCTTTTTTAAAATATATAAATTAAAAAAAGAGGTGCTCAAAAAAAAAAAACTTTTAATATAAAAAACCAGTTTAAAGCTTATTTCTTTCAAAATCTCTTTTAAAAATGATCTTTATGAAATGAAATGATTTAACTTGTATAATCCCAAATACAAAAAAAAAATCAGCTTTTTTACAACATTCACAATATCCCTAATCAGTCCTAGTTATTAAACGAAAATTAATTTCTTGAAATCAATCATAAAAGTTATAAACATTCATATTATAGAGTTAAAAATTTTAATGTAATAAAAGTAGGCACTAAAATAAATTTTTTACTCTAAAAAAAATTTGCTTCAAATTTATTTTTGGATTCTAATTTTCAAAATCGTTATTTTAAATAAATTTGATTTTTAAATTATAATGTATAAAACATTCTTATATAATTACATTTTAAGAGCAAAAACTGAATCCACATTTCGGAGTTGTTCATTGTTTCAAATCGTAAAGATTACAAAAATACAATTTACTTAGTAAATAAACATAAAAGAACAAATGTAAAATTACTTACAAAAATTCCTTTTTTTTATAAAAAAAACTCCTATAACTGTTCTTTAAGCTGGACTTTTTTTAATTTAATTGTAGCTTTTAAAATAGGAAGTTAAAAATAAATTTGATAAAATGATATGTTTTAAATTGTAAACTCTCTAAACATAAAAAACCCATATCGATACAACAGATTTTTTTAAAAAAAGAAATAACAATTCCACTAATTATTAAACCGGGATTTATTACTTCAAAAACTCTTCTTATTAAAATGTTTAATAGTTGAAAAATAAATGCTAAGAAAACCCTTTTATATTATAAAAAAGAGCTTGTTTACAAGGGGGTTTTCTTTTACCACTCATGTAAAATATAAATTTGATAAAATAACCTGAAATTTAAACACAAAAACCATCTAAATAAAATTAATTCCTTCAAAATTCACATTGCAAATAATTAGTTGACCAGAATTAATTGATTCTAACCAGTTATAATAGTTATGAAATTTCATAATATAAATTTTCAATTCTAAATATTTCTAAATATTTAATTCTAAATATTTCTAAATATTTAATTCTAAATATTTCTAAATATTCAATTCTAAATATTTCTAAATATTTAATTCTAAATATTTCTAAATATTTAATTCTAAATATTTAATTCTAAATATTTCTAAATATTTAATTCTAAATATAAAATTCTAAATATTTAATTCTAAAATTCTAAATATTTAATACAACAAAAAACAAGCCCTCGGAAACATTTATAGTTTTTTTTTGTTAAGAAAAACATTAAACTCATTTAAACTTAAAATTCGGTTCCGTTTTTCAAATTTTTAAAAGTACAAAAACAGCACAATTTAAAAAAAAAAGAAATAAATAAATAAACAGTGATTAGTTATTAAGCAAGTATCGTTTGTTTCAAATCATGAAAATAGTAAGAAACAAAACTTACCCTGTTAATGAACAAAATAAAACAAAGATAAGTGTTTGAAAAATCCATTTTTTTGTCAAAAAAACACCGATATCCATTTTATTTTGATTCTACCTTTCAAATTTGATATTAGTTCTTTGAAGGCTAAAGAAAGAGAAGTTCTGGCATAGTTGAACTCTGGCTAGCTTCCACAGAATTGAATTGCATTTGAAATGCGAATTGTTGCGCTAGTAGTTTCACAATTCTAAATTAAATATCCTTCATTCCATAAACTTTTTCGTAGAAATAAATAATATTTCGTACACTAAAATACGGGATTAGATTGCATCGTGAATATATTATGATATGATTAATTAAAATTAAATATTCATTCCTTTTTTATGTTAGTTTTTGCGACCTCTTTCGTTTGTTATATTATGCAGAAATGTTTCGCTAATTATTGTTTGCATTTTTATGAGGGAACAAAGCATAACTTAATTTCATTACTTATTATGTATTAATAATTACGTAATTAAGTGTGCTATTATATGTTTTAATATGTATGTTTAAGTATTTTAACTGGACATTTCGATGCATATATTTGATTTTAAATACCTTAATAAATTAAAAAAATTTTTTTGAGAAAATAACTACGTTTTAAGTTTGCTTCTTCGAGAAGTGATAATTTGGGATAGATAGTTCCTTGTTTGAAATGGAATTAAAAAAATGAAATCTGTGAAAATATTATTAAAGCCGTAATAAGAAAGATTAGTTTTACGATTTTTCAGCTTGTTTTTAAACTAATGAGATTTTTACATCTTATTTTTTAACATTTACGTAGAAAATTAGTAATTAAAAAAAATCAGAGTATTTGTTCATGGAAAGTAGATAAGATCATTTTTTTTAATAAAGCAGATATTCATTGTTTCAGTGAAACAGTGGAAACTTATACATTGACTAGCAGCTTGATATATTTTATGAAAAAGAGGAGAGAGATATGGGATATTTTTGATGCAAAAGCAGTGGTCCGATTTCGGATATTAGCTCCATAGTGGTGCTCCGATAAATATAAAAATATAACTTAGTTTTTAGTTTGCTTCTTAGAGAAGTGATGATTTGGGATGGACAGTTCTTTGTTAGTGAGGAAATTAAAAAAAAAAAACAAGAAAAATCTGCGGAAATATCGTTATACCTCGGAGTAAGAAAGATTAGTTTTGCGTTTTTACTGCCCATTGAAAGCTAAGTAGATTTTTACATTCTGTTTTTGAACATTTACATGGAAAATTAGTAATAACGAAAAATCAGATTAAATGTTTATGGAAAGTATATTAGAACAACTTTTAATAAAAAAGATGTTCATTGTTTCAATGAAACAGTCGAAACCTATGTATTTAGAAATAGACCCGTGGGTTTCTTGAATAATAAATAAATCTTTAATTTATGTAATCTATTACCTCTTTGAGGCAGAAGTGACACCGGTGTCCCTTTTGCATATTTTTTTTGACGCTCTAATTAGAAGCAGAAATGCATTTTGGAATTTTTTACTTACTAAAAACATTTTAATAGTTACTAAATAAATCTATCAGATCATCAGAATTATATTCGTACTAAAAAATAAAAATCTAGAAAAAGGAGTTCGATTTTATTTTTCATTCACACTCAAAAATTTATTGATAATTGATTTTGTGAATGTAAGAAATTTCTTTGATGAGTAACTGTTTCTCTTTAATCCAAATAACTGCAAGTAATTTCAAATTTGAAAGATTATTGTTTGGATGATTTTACCATTAACGCAGAAAAAGTCACCGGTATTTTATGCGGTATTTCATATCCCTAAATTATTAAAATGTTAAATATAGTTTTTTCAAGAGAAAAAAAAAGAATTTTTTTTTGAAGAGAAAGACATCTATATTTCAAGCTGTATTTTATAACCTTAAATTATTACAATGATAAACTTAACATTTTTCACTTATTTAGACCTAAATTAATGCAAAATAATGAATAAAGTATGAAAAATATGTTTATTAAACGTTTTGCGTCAAAGGGTTAAAATAATCCTAGTAAGATTTTTTTCACAAATGAAATTTTTCAGA